ATTTTTTTACTTTTAATTGAAAGTTGTGCTCAAAAGTTTGCATGCCCTGGCAGAAATTGTGAAATTTTGGCATTGATTTTTAATATATGAGTGATAGTGCCTTTTATTTAAGGATAGTGATCATATGAAGCCATTCATTATCACATAGTTTTTTGGCTTCTTTTCAAATCATAATGATAACAGAAAACAGCCAAATGGCCCTGATCAAAAGTTTACATACCCTTGAATGTTTTGCCTTTTTACAGACACACAGGGTGACACACATACATTTAAATAGCAATTTAAAGTTCATTTCCCACACCTGTGGCTTTTTAAATTGCGTCTGTGTAAATGGTCATTGAGTTTGTTAGCTCTCAAGTCGATGCACTGAACAGTCTAGAAACTGAGCCATGGGGAGCAGAAAAGAACTATCAAAAGACCTGCGTAACAAGGTAGTGGAACTTTATAAAGAAGGAAAAGGATATAAAAAGATATCCAGAGCCTTAAAAAATGCCTGTCAGTACTGTTCAGTCACTTATTAAGATGCGGAAAATTCGTGAATCTAATGATACCAAGCCAAGGTCAGCTAGACCAAGAAAGATTTCAGCCACAGCTGCCAGAAGAATTGTTCGGGATACAACAAAAAAAAACCCACATGTAACCTCAACAGGCATACAGGCTGCTCTGAAAAAAGACGGTGTGGTTGTTTCAAGGAGCACAATACGACGGTACTTGAACAAAAATGAGCTGCATGGTCGAGTTGCCAGAAAGAAGCCTTTACTACGCCAATGCCACCCTAAAGGCACTGGGAATCTTGTAAAAATTGATGGTAAGATGAATGCAGCATATTATCAGAACATAATGGCAGACAATTTGCATTCTTCTGCACGAAAGCTGGGCATGGGACACTCTTGGACTTTCCAGCATGACAATGGCCCTCAGCACAAGGCCAAGTTGACCCTCCAGTTGTTACAGCAGAGACAGGTGAAGGTTCTGGATTTTTTATTATAAAAAATATATATTTTACATTAAGAAAATGAAACCTAGGTAGGTTTTTTGTATTTTTACATTATTTTCATAATCTATATCATATGTATATCTTCATAATGCATTATGTGCATTCATAAAATTTATATCTATTTGGTATTGCATTTTATTTTTTTTTTCATTATTATGTTTTTTGCAGAAGACGTGCCACGCTTTATACACCCTATGCTGGGAAATGGTGATGCTGAGGCCCCTCTTTTGTCATCCTTATCCATGTGTCAGTGTGTGCATGAGGAGGGTAGGAGGAGGAGAAATGGGGAAAACCAGGAAGCAGAGAGGGAGGCAGCAAGTGGGTGTAAGAAAGCGCGAGAAGATTAGAACATGATTGGCTAAAGGAGGATTCAAACTCAGCCCAGTTGGCCGAGGTTCAGCTCCTTCTGCCGTGTGTAAGTGCGTGTCTGAGTATTTACGAGGGGAAACCTGTAAGTTACACACATGTGTGTGCTTGCATCTCTCTCTCTCTCTCTCTCTCTCTCTAGCGTGACCCGTGGTCGTACATCACTTTCAACACATATCAAGGCAGACCAGCAGAACGGGTTAGAAAGAGCAAACAGAAGAGGGAGGGAAGAGAGACAGAGGTAGAGAGAGAGGCCAGCGAGAAAGACTTTGTCAGAGAAAGGCATAAAGACATCGGAGTAAAAGAGAAAGTGAAGCTCGTCTCTGTGTGTGTGTGTGTGTGTTTGTGAAGACAGCTGCAAAAGGAAGTAAGATTATGGAAATGTTGTTTGGCACAATATTGCAACAGATTGTTCTTTGTTTGGCTTATGAAATTCAAGGAAATGCATGCATATATGTTATGTATTATGTGAGAATCCTTTCTTGCCGTAACACTTTGTGTTTATGTAACTTTCTGCATGATCCAGCTCTGCATTCACATCAACCAATATTGTTCACACTTTAATATTTATTCATAAGCAAGATGGTGATTGAAATTCGCACATCCCGCACACAGCATGCGCAAAAGTGTTAATTCGTTGCCTTCGTGTTAACAGCACACTTCGGTTTACTAAAGTCTAGCTGCAATCTATAATTAAGCAAGAGACTTAAATATTCATGTGGCCTAGTAATCAGAACTCAGTCTTGCTTAAAGTCCTGAGGTCTCTGGCAGGCCACGCGGTCGATATCAGCATGTGTGGAGGAGCCGACAGAAGCTGTAAAACTGGCCGCTTAAGAGAGACACTTCTGTCTTTCTGGTTCTTTTAGGGGTTACCATCTTTAATTAAAGCATGCTCTGACAGCGCACAGGCTGCTACTGTCACCGCTGCGTCTCAGTGTGTTACTCCAGTGGATCGTGCCTGGGGTTCTTTATGAGTGGCCCATTGTGTCTGCACAGAAAGCCGGAGCAGAAGTCCTTATTCGGAGCTTTACTAATAAGAATGTGTTAGGATCAGTGTCATTTTGGCAGCACACTGTAATAACTCCTGCATGTGGCACTATATTGCACCTTCTTTTTTTAAGAACCTTCTTTTTAAAGGGTTAGTTTGTCCAAAAAAGTATATTTTGTCAGCATTTATTCACCCTGTATGAATGTTTTTCTTCTGAGGAGCACGAAAGAAGATATCTTTAAAAATGTCAATTCCAAATTCCAGATTGTGTTTCGCAGAAGAAATAAATTAATATGCAGGATTGGAACAACATGAGGGTGATAAATGATGACAATGTTTTCATTTTGGGGTGAACTATTCCTTTAAGAAACATTTTGTATTTGTATGGCGTTCTTGTGTTGAGTTTAAACGTAATTTCTTTTTTGAGATTAAAAAATTCTTCAAAAGTCAGTAAGCTTTTAAAAAACATTTTAATTCGGCAAGAACGCTTTAAATTGATCAGATGTGACAGTAAAGACATTTATGATGTTACAACATAAATATATTGATAATAAGAAATGTTTCTTGAGCAGCAAATCAGCATATTAGAATGATTTCTAAAGCATCGTGTCACACTGAAGACTGGTAATGTAATGTATGCATCAAGTAATGATGCTGAAAAATCAGCTTTGCATCACAGGAATAAATTACATTTTAAAATATATTCAATTAGCAAACCGTTACGTTAAATTATAATAATATTTAACTTTTTTTACTACATTTTTGATCAAATAAATGTCTTTGTGAGCATGAAAGACTTTCAAAAACATAAAAAAAACATACCAACCCAAAACTTCTGAACAGTATAGGTGTGAAAAACTGATAAGTAGTCATAACCACTGATGACTATATCTTCAAGAAAAGGTGAAGTTGACACGATACTAGAGTAGGTAAAGTGTGAAAAACTATCAGGGTAAGGGTTAACCGTAAATATTAAGCCATATAAAGTGGGCTGTTAAAACGCACATAAAAAAACTTCTGAATCATCATTTCGCAAGCCATTATAAGGCATACTCTGTTCATGTGAGTGGTAAATCAGCTGTGGGGATGAAGCTGTACTAATTAATTTCCTTCCCCAGTCATGAGGCCAAATCTGGCACAGCACAGAAAAAGGAGCTTTCACTGTTTTCTAGGACCTCTGGACTGAAACAGGAGAGGGGGATGGAGAGTTTGGCATTCCACACCACTGAAAGTCAAAGTTTTTTAACCCTGTCTTCCCATTTGTCTATTTTCTATGTATTGCTTGTATTGTGTCAGTTTTTTTTTTATGTGGCCAATCTTAATATTAGTGATTGTAACATCTTAAATGTCCTTGCAAATATGGCTAGGCATGTGTTATGGACGTGCATATCATGTGATCTTGCATCATAATATGGCTGATAGAGCTGTGGGTATTTACACAGGTGTGGCCGTATGTGTCATAAACACACATGAGATAATCAATAATTTAGGTCCAAAGGTTGTGTTGCTTTAAGCTGGAGTAAGGTCAACAATGAAATGACAGCGAGTTTTGAAGTGTCTCACAAAGCCTATATTGTATTTTTTTCCAAAATCAATAAAACTAAAAATTATTATATAAAAAAATATATATAATATATAAAAGTATATATTATTTTATATTATATTTTCTGTCCAAAATCAATCAAAATTAATATATAGAAATTATATGAAATTATTCTTTTTTAAATTCTATTGTGACATTATTTCTATTACAATCAAGGGCTTTTTTCATTACAGTCATGTGGAAAAATCTCATTCTAACCATTATGCAAAAATAAATAAATAAATAAAATAACTGTAATAGAAAAGATATTTATACATCATGGTAGTATTTGTTGTACTGCCTTTAAAAAAATAATTGTGTTCAGACAGGCTGATTCTAGAATAATGAGAATGCAAATATAAAGCATCTGGACCAGTGTTATTTTAGTATCATTCATAAACGACTATAGTTATATTAAAAGTTTGAATCAGTCTTTATTTTTATATATTAAATTTAAATTTTAGTTAAAGCTGTATTCATTTTAGTAAGTGTGTTTTTGTTTAGTTTTTTATGACTAAATAGTTTTTATTCATTTTTATTTCAGTTTTAGTTATTTTAGTACATCAAGTTAAACTAAATTAAAATGAGAAATGCTGCTTTGGCAGCTAGCTGAAATAAAAGTTTTTTATATTAATTTTATTTGATTTCATTTGACGTTTATGTTATCTTAAGTAACAATAATGCTTTAAATTTTTTATTTTTTTTTGTACTATTTTACTGTAATAACCCTGATCCAATTTAGAAAATGTAACTGAAAATAAACAAACACATACACTCTAAAAAATGCTGGGTTATTTCAACCCAACTTTGGGTCACTTTTGGGTTAAAAATGTAATGTAAAAATTTAACCCAACAGTTGGGTTAGTCCATATTTGACCCAAAGTTGGGTTGAAACAACCCAGCATTTTTTAGCGTGTACATACACACATAAAAATAAGCTTAATTGTCATGAAAATACTGATAGATAAATGAAAATAAATTAATTAAACTAAAATATGCTTCATTTTCTTTCAGCAATAAATGATTTCTTACTTTGGATTTAGGAGTGAAATATAAAAAACAAAAACATGTTTTAACAGGCTTTATGAGATTTACCCTTTGACCTTCACCAGCTTTTCCCCTTGATTTACACTGATGCCGTATCTGTTTTTGTGTAATACTTTCTGACACTGCTTTGTAGTCTCACCCTCTGTGAATTGTGAAGCTGTTAATGTCTTTTTCTTTTTCTGACCTTAATCATTTATTCTTTTTGTGAACGTCTCTCTCTGTCTTTCACAGGATGCTGTGGAGTTTGTTGGCAGTGACGGTGGTTACAGCAGCTGTCCTGTATGTCCTCTATCGCTGGCTCATTCCTGCAGCTGTGCGGAGCAGCGGCTGGCTGACACTCCTCTGGCACGTTGTCATCCTCGAGCGCCTCCTTAACATCATGACGGGATCAACGCGACCTCAGGTGACCCTCACTGTCATTCATTCATACATACATCACTCACATATGCAGAGATGAGCTGTTGATGTTCAAAGAAGACAGAGAGTCACCGATGACAAAAATACCATGCTCCTCCTATGGTGTTTCACACATGGTACCATAGAAGGCTATGTAGGCTATCATGAAAATACTGTATTTTTGGTGAATCTAACAAAGCCTGTAAAGGAACACGTCATGGTTATATGATATGTATCTGATTCTGTGTTGACATGAATGATATTTATACATCTAAACGTTTGGTTATTATAGAGCATGCATCTCATTCCTTACACTCTCAATGTCAGTTGTTACCTTCAAGGAAATGATTTAGACAACCTCAGGCAAGTAAAAATGTGTGCCAGATGTCATTTGTGCTAACTGCCGTTAGAATATTAAATGTTGAGACATGAATATGAGTAGGTTATTACACATTAATTGCACACATGTATATGTTGAAGTATAATGTAGATGAGTTTTAGATCTTTTACATTGTTCTTATGTATATTTGTTTTTGTTGTTTTTATGTGTTGCGTTGATTTGATTGTTTGTAGTGTATGGTGAAACCAAAAACAAATTTGCACTATAAAAGTAACTGTCTATTTCTCTTTAAAATAAAATTTAAAAATGTTTCACATGTTCTTTAGATATAATTTAAATATGATAAATGTATTTATTATTAAACATCATATTTATTTATTTATTTATTATTAAAAATAAATATATATTTTTCATTAAGAAAATAAAACCTATTTTTACATTTTGCATTTATTGCATATATATATATATATATATATATATATATGTGTGTGTGTGTGTGTGTGTGTGTGTGTGTGTGTGCAGTGTTTTATTAACAAAAATAAAAAAAAACACTCTAATTATCATAATGGAAAAATAAAATCTTTATGATGATTAAATTTTGTAAAAAAAAATCACTGTGTCCAAAAGAAATTATTTGAAGAACCTTGGAGTATATCAATACCATGCAACATGCAGTAATCATTCAGTATTATTGTATATATTAAAATACCACAGTATTACCTTCTGGCATCTGTACCATGGTACAGGCAAAGTACATTTTTTTAAGGGACCTATGATTAAACAGGATTTTTCAATAGCAGAAACCCTATAGAATGGCTTTGGAAAGCAAGAGTAATTAATGGCCTCCTGTTATGTGTCTTTATTTTTCAACTATTGTTCTCTGGCTTTGCTTTGCTCAAGAACACTGTTGATCATGGCTGATTTCTGTGAATGCAGCGCATGCTGAAAGCCGTTCAGAAGAACGCCACAAAAGGAGACCCTGAGAGCGTCATCTCAGCCATAGACTATTACTGCCGGCACAGAGAATGGGCCATGAACGTGGGCGATGAAAAAGGTAGCAACCTGTTTTCTATTCCCTCGCCTCCTTCTCTGATCCCTTACTAATTTTCTCACCATTAGCTTGATCATTTTTTTGCTTATATTATGCTCTTTTCTGCTCTTGAGTAAATGGCTTTAGGGCTGCTCACAGCCGGCTCTTCTGAATGAGAAGTGATGGCAGCCTCCTGTCTACTGGGTCAATACACTCTCTGCATGGCTGCACACATGCACACTAGTTGCATGTACGCATGTGCACAATCATGTGCAGCCAATGCATCCCACACAATCAACAGCAGCAATTAAGTACACTGATGATGCATTATGGGACTGAGGATGGATTCATTTCAGAAGTGTTCCCTGAATTATCTTTTTTTTTTTTTTTACAATATACATAGTGATCCTATTTTTGTTGTTGATAGTTGACAGACATTAGTGGAAAATGTCTATAATTTAAATTTGTGGGGAACTGACTTATCCACTAAAAATTGAGCAAAAACACTGTATAAAAAATAAAATTCTTACTTAGCACCAACATTAAATTTGCTTGAGAGGCAAAATTACTACATAGGCTTACTACATAAAGTATTATATTTTATTTTAGTTTTAGTTATTTTAGTACATCAAGTTAAACTAAATGAAAAAGAGAAATGTTGCTTTGGCTATGTTTTAAGTTTTTTACATTTGATTTCAGTTTACGTTTATTTTATCTCAGTAACACTGGATAAGAAAAATATCTGGCAGTGGGTTAAGAAAAATAAACTTAATTCAAAAGGAAAATAAGAACATTTTTCTTATTCCACACTGAAAAAAAAAACTGGCATAGAAGCCATTTTTACTCAGAAATTGAAACCACAAAGAAATGGCAAGAGACACATTAAACGTGATATTTTGAAGTACAAAGTTTGAAATAGTATTTTTCTTGTAAAACATACTTCAATCTTTTTTACAGTTAAATTTTTTTTAAATATTTTTTTTCTTGTTTTAAAAAACAAGACTTTATATCTTGTCATTTTGTATATATGGTGAGTAATTTTGCTTCTCAAGTAAATACAGTATATCTTGATTTAAGAATGTTTAGACATTTGCAGTGGAAAACAAGACAAATATTGTTTTCAAATATTTTTAGTGCCACTGTATGACACCAAACAGTGAACGTCAGTACGATATTGTTCCTATTAGCAGCTCAATTTCATGTGTGACAACAAGCACTGATGAATAAATGATGACGCGGAGCTGCTAATGGGGCACAAAGGCTTTAATGATATTTCAACGATGTCATTAGCCACCTCATTGATTAGTTTCCTCAGTTATCCTCTAGCTGAGTTCTGTGTGTCTCTCTGAAGGGCTCATACTGGATTCGGTGTTGACGGAGGTAAACCCCGGCACGGCTCTGGAGCTCGGCACATACTGTGGCTACTCCACCATTCGGATCGCTCGACTGCTGTCCCCTGGCTCCAAACTCATTACTGTCGAATTCAACCCAGACTTTGCTGCAGTCGCTCGTCAGATCATTGCCTACGCCGGCCTTCAGGACAAGGTGAGAAAAAGAACTGGTATGCAAAGACTTTGCTTTGAAACCTTTTTCACGCAGAAACTGCACTGAATTAAATGCGAATTTTTTAACCCAAAAATGTCTGAGAAAAAGGTAAGATGATGATAAAGTTATGGCTAATAATCTGGGTCATTTGTCACATTTGACATGGAAGTGTTCAAGACTTCATGTCATGAACATTGAATTAAATGCAACATTTTTAAGTAGAAAGACTAAAATGTTTTGTAAAATATACTCCAATAATCTTTATTAACAACTTAAAACAAAACAAACAAAAAAAAAACTTTTACTACACTCATATTTGGTATAAAATATTCATGCACTGCTTACTGCCTACTATGCGTAGTATGTATACTATATACTATGCAAAATGCAACATTTATATTCTATTCTTTAAAAAAAACTTGCCCCTTTTAGACTTGCACTCTATTCATTTATTAACTGCTTGTTTTCTTAAAAAAAATATTTTTGTATTCTATGCCAAGCTAATTACATGGTTGTCAGCATTAAAAGGGGTATAATTGTTGCTTTTTGCAGTGCAAATTTTGTTTGTGATGAAAATAACAGTACGTTTTCGTCAGTTATTGTACCTACGGATCGCTGCATTTCTTACAGATTTCTGCTCATTCGAAATTGGATACAGATGGAGTAGCACTGTAAGATTACATCTGATTTGTTTGAATGCATTATTGAGAGAGTGATTGCATTTGAATAAGTGTTATACCTGTTTAAATCATGCTTTCACCTGAAAATATTCACAAACAAATTCCTTGAGAACTAACTATAACTTCCCGGTCACGTCATCATAGCCTTCACATTCTTTTTGATGTGACTGATCCATTTCTATCAAGCTAGCTAAATATGTTTAATATGTGAATTATCGCTAAATATGCAGTTAAATTACATAGGGCTGCCAACTCATGCATTCAGCATGAGACTCACGCAATTGACACTTTTCTCACGCCACACATCCATTTTCTCACTATAATAAAACTATAATAATAGGATATTGGTGAAACAAATTTGGTAAAGGCTCCTGTGCGCATTTGCGTACACTGGAAAATGTCAAGATTCTTTACAACGTGTTTTTTCGTAGCTCTGATCAAAGTAGCCAATCACAGACATATCTGTTGATTTCCTGAACACCTGTGATTGGCCATTGCGGTCACTCACCTCTAAACTCCGGATTTTTTGGTGGCTCATCTTACCCCACTCACCCTCCCTATATTTTGTATTAAAAAATTATGTGTGTCTGTATAAATATATATGCAGGTGCATCTAAAAAAATTGGAATATCGTGAAAAGTTCATTTTTTTTAACTTATTTCAAATAGTGAAACTTTCATATATTCTAGATTCATTACATGTAAAGTAAAACATTTCAAAAGTTTTTTTTTGTTTTAATTTTGATGATTAGAGCTTACAGCTCATGTAAGTCAAAAATCCAGTATCTCAAAATATTAGAATATTTGCTGAGACCAATCAAAAAAAGAATTTGCTAAACAGAAAAGTTGAAGTTCTTTAAAGTATGTTCATTTATGCACTCAGTACTTGGTCGGGGCTCCTTTAGCACAAATTCCAGCATCAGTGAGGTGTGGCATGGAAGCGATCAGCCTGTGGCTCTGCTGAGGCACTATCGAGCCTTCAGCTCGTTTGTATTGTTGGATCGACTGTTTCTCATCTTTCTCTCGAAAATATCCCATAGATTCCATATGGGGTTCAGGTCAGGCATGTTGGCTGGCCAATCAAGCACAGTAATATCATGGTCAGCAAACCACTTGGAAGTGGTTTTGGCACTGTGGGCAGGTGCTAAAGTCCTGCTGGAAGAGGAAATCAGCATCTCCATAAAGCTTGTTAGCTGATGAAAGCATAAAGTGCTCCAAAATCTCCTGGTAGACTTTGGACTTGATAAAACACAATGGACCAACACCAGCAGACGTCACGGCACCCCAAATCATCACTGACTTCGGAAACTTCACACTGGACTTCAAGCAGCTTGGATTCTGTGCCTCTCCAGTCTTCCTCCAGACTCCAGACCTTGATTTCCAAATGAAATGCAAAATTTACTTTTATCTGAAAAGAGGACTTTGGACCACTGAGCAACAGTCCAGTTCTTTTTCTCCTGCAGGTAAGATGCTTCTGACGTTTCTGTTTCAGAAGTGGCTTGGTAGTCTTTTCCTGAAGACGTCTGAGCGTGGTGACTCTTGATGCACTGACTCCATTTCAGTCCACTCCTTGTGAAGCTCTCCCAAGTTTTTGAATCGGCTTTGCTTGACAGTATTCTCAAGCAATCCCTGTTGCTTGTGCACATTTTCCTACCCAATTTCTTCCTTCCAGTCAACTTTGCATTTAATATGCTTTGATACAGCACTCTGTAAACAGCAACCCCTTTCATTAATGACCTTCTGTGACTTACCCTCTTTGTGGAGGGTGTCAATGATTGTCTTCTGTACCATTGCCAAGTCAGCAGTCTTCCCCATTATTGTGGTTTCAAAGAACAAGAGATACC